ATATTCAACAAAGGTAGATGAGATATTTTGCTAAACTTTTCAATAAAGATTATGAGAATGTGATTGACATCATGGTTTAAAATTGCGCAATATGAGGCTCGCCTTGAGGCCCGCCTTTACGCAATTCCAGTAAAAAATGCCTCGATGCTTACGCCCCGAGTTTTTGTTATGAGGCTTGCGCCTCGACTCGGTTGAGGCCCGCCTCACCTCACTGGAATGAGGCTTACGCCTCACGCTATATATATTAAAACTTACATAAATCTTGAAGTAAATGCCCGACATTGGACTCTATAGGAGAGGAGGAAGGGGAGAGAGCAGTTCATCATAATGATGATTCAAATGACCAATAGAGACATGGAAATGCTTAGGAGATGAAGGAATTTATAGGATTATTAAACTTTTAAATATTTTTTTTTAGACTAAAAAGATGTCAGATGAGTGAAGAATGAGTGTGTTGATTCCTATTTTTAAGAATAAAGGTGATGCACAAATTTGTGCGTATTATAGAGGAATCGAGTTAATGACTCACACTTTAAAATTATGGGAGAGAGTTATGGAGAATAGATTGTGGCGTGAAAGTAATGTTTCTAAAAATTAATTTGGATTCATGTCAAGTAGGTCTACTATGGAAGCTATTGAGAGGTTTGATGGAGAAGTATAGAGAGAATAAGGAGGATCTACATATGATTTTTATTAATTTGGCGAATGTATATGATAAAGTTTCAAAAGAAGTGCTATGGAGAGTTCTACATAAGAAAGGGGTTAAAAATGCTTATATTCAAGTCATTAAGGATATGCATGCAGGAGTTATTACATGTGTTCAAATATAAGGTGGTTTGACCAAGTATTTTCATATTTCAGTTGGATTACATCAATGATCAGCCTTAAGCCCATATTTTTTTTGCTTTAATCATGGATGTTCTCACTAGACATTTGCAAGAGGTTGTACCCTGGTGCATGCTTTTTGCTGATGTTATTCTTCTTGTTGATATGACTAAAGAGGGAGTTGAAGGTAAACATGAATTATGGAGGTCAAACTTCGAGTCTAAAGGCTTTCGTTTGAGTATATCTAAAATTGAATGTATGGAGTGTAATTTTAGTAGTAATAGTTCCAGTGGGGGATTGTGAATTTGGGTGATCAAGGTATTAATAAGAGTACACGTTTTAGATATTTTGGGTCTATTGTTCAAAGTGATGGTGAAAAAGATGGGGATATTATTAGTATAATCAAGTTGGATGGTTGAAATAGAAGAATTCATCGGCTTGTTGTGTGATAGAAAAGCCCCCCTCCAACTTAAGGGAATATTCAATAAGATGGTAGTAAGACCAGCAATGTTTTATGGTGTAGATAGTTGAACATAAAAAGAGAAGCATAATATTAAGTTAAGTGTTGCAAAGATGAGGATGCTTAGGTGGATAAGTGACATTATTATTAGAGATAGGATATGAAATGAGCATATACGTGAAAAGGTTGGAGTAGCTCCAGTGGAAGATAAGATTAGAGAGTCGCCTAAGATGGTTTGGTCACATAAAACAACGGCTTTTCGATGACACGGTTAGGAAAGTAGATGTATTAGATTTGACTTATATTAAGAAAGGTAGAAGTAGACCTAAAAAGAATTGGTTATAAAATATTAGTAATGACAATTTTATTAGATTTAGATGAGAATTTGACTCTTAATAAAACGCAATGGAGAAAAAGAATTCATGTAGCTGACCCCACATAGTCGGATAAAGGTCAATTGTTATTGTTGTTGTTGTCTCTCATCTGAATATAAATTTGTCGAATGAACACGTGTTCTCGATTCCATCATCCTGTCTATAAGGAAAAATCGTTAAGTTTAGCTCTTTTAATCTGATCCCCCACATTCCAAAGGCTGGAGTTAGAAAAACTTTTGGCCCTAATTAACTTTTACATGAAGACTTCAAAGAAGTTGCAATTAAAAGAATGATTTTTAATTCAATTTCTCAATTTAATCAAGCAAACAAGCATTATTATAAACTTGGAATCTGATATTCAACTGTGAGATTCACTAAATCATATTGGTTTACCTTTGCTTAAGGCTTATAATAAAGCCTCTCACAATAAAAATTAATATCAAAATGAATACTCTTAGGCTCACCACACCAATATGGCATGTCAAACTTTTCAGATGTAATCATCTACAAACAAGGGGGAGCAAGTAGACAGTCAACAATGTTTAAAGCAACAAATTTCAATCAAATACACACATCAATTGCACATTGTAATCGAAGTTTACTTACAAAATCAAGCTCTAATGTTGCAAAAATAAATAATTCAAGAAACTTTTCCCGAAATGATGGATGCCCTCGTACCTCCAATCAACAATCCATACTTGAAAAATTATTATACATAATTGTTGGCTCCGAAAATTCACATCCCGGCCTCTTCACGGCCCCTTTCTTTTTTGTTGACGGCGAGGAGAGTTTTAACGAGTTTAGGTTCCATGGTAAATTTTCAGAAGGCATATTGGGTTTTAGATAAGACACTAACCAAAGATTTCGCCCTTATTTTGTGAAGAATTTATGATCCGACTTCTAGTTTCCTATAGGCGCAAGCACCTATAGTTAATTACCCCTCCCAATAATGAGAGAGAACTTTCGATCAAAGCTAGTCATTGAACATATGTGTAGTATCCAGCAGATAGTAGCAGCATAATTAGATCTTGAAAAGGTTGGAATAGCTCTAGTGGCAAATAAGATTAGAGAGAGACATCTTATATGGTTTGGCCATATAAAACATCGGCCATTCGATAACCCGATTAAGAGAGTAAATGTATTAGATTTGGCTTATGTTAAGAAAATAGAGGTAAACCTAAAAAGACTTGGTTAGAAAATATTATAAATTGTGTTTTTTATTAGATGTAAATGAGAATCTAGCTTGTAACAGAACACAATGAAGAAAAATAATTTATGCAACCAACCCCATGTAGTGGGATAAAAGCTTGTTGTTGCCATTGTTGATCTTGTTCTTATTATATTTAGGCATCAAGATATTGAATACATTATTTTATACCAAAGAAATTATTTGAAAGTTCTGATAATTAGATCTTAAAATAGATAAATATTCAAAAGAAGTTAAATAGTAGGCATGTCTAATGGATTGAGTTTAGGATTACTTACATCCTGAAACATATATACAAATAAGCAGCATTATCCTAAGTTTTCTTACTATTAAACTCTATATGCATTCATATGACTAGCTTTGTTAGCATATGAGATGGGTACAAGACATCCTAACTTTCACTTCATATATCACAATCAAAAGAATATGTCATATGTTCCTTCACGTACTTTCATGATTTTGATATGGATATCCTCATAAAGGCAATAAGCATTGCTTTCGCAGGATAACAGGCCTCTGTTCATGATATTAATGTTTGCAAAAATGTATGCTGGTGGCATGGAAGATTACATTGGTTAGGATAAGACTATATATTTGTTTGTGTGCAACTTTTACTGACCTTCATTAAGAAAGGATATTGCTAGGATTGTGATTCAACATTATGCATGCCATGAGAAAAATAGTTAAACATTTTTGTACATACACTTGGCTTATCACTTCGACTTTTAGGGTTGTTTTCTATATAGATTTTGTATTGGGGTAATAAAGGATTCTTTGTGATCAGGATATTATAATATTGGCTATGGATAAGTTTTCGAAAATTACTCAATTCGTTTAATGCACTCATACTATTGTTGCATATTATGTACCAACACTTTCTTTAAAAAAAAAAAAGTTGGGTAACATGGACTAACCAAGAACATATTATCTTATAAAGATGTCAATTTTGTTTCTTATTTCTAGAAAATCTTAAGGAAATTGAGGTACAACCCATACATTTTCATGATTCTTTCACCATCGAACAAATAATAAGACTGCAATAGTAAATAGAAACCTTGGTAATCTATTAAGATGTCTGGTTGCAAAAGGTTTAGGTCATTGGGATGTACATTTTCCTTCAACATGCAATAGCACTATATGCAAATCTATGGTCATAACACCATCTAAAATTGTTCAAAGCCTGAAACCTAGAAAGCTTATAGATCTTATCAATTTTTTGCTTCATGCTTATTATGATTTTGTCACATCATACGTACATCATATATATGATTTATATGAAAAGGTTAGAAAGTATATTGAATCGCATAATAAGAAATAGTGTGAAGCTTTTTAAGAGAAGTACTCAAAAGTAAAATGAAGGTAACTTTGTCATGATTCATATAAATCCAGAACGCTTCATAAAAGCACACATAGGAAATTGCATGCAAGGGCCTATTATCCTTACAGTATTAATAAAAAAATCAAATCAAAAGCTTATGCATTATATTTACGTCCTAATATATTTATTAAGCATATTTTCAACATTGAAGATATATGTTCTTATGTGCAATATTTGAGTGTCATATCCCACCATTCCATCTTTCCCTGCCTATATTAAAACCATCATTTAAGAAGAAGTGATACTTGGGAATTTTTTTTTTTTTTAACACAAATTTCTAGTCAAGTGAGAAGGCAAACTTTATTCATATGATATTTTATTGACCAAGGAGGAACTGCAAAAACTAGTCACTTAACCTTTGGATAACTATTCATGTGATGGGTTTTATTTCCAAAATGGGTCAAAATCATCCATAGCAGGAGTATCTTGTTCTCCTATTATGTATGGCCATCACATTATCTTTATAGAGGCTTAATGAGCCAAACCAATATACTCCAATCTTTCAAACTATGCTATGCATAAGGCTGGGCCAATGGTTGAAGGCCCCGTTTGTATATAGAAACTGCATAGACAAGTTTTTTCATTTTCTAAGCAAGGAGCTGGTAAAAAGTAATAAGGGAAGAGTCAACGGCATGTGGAGATAATACAATTTTCTAGAAGAGCAAAAGAACCAGTAAAACACTACAAAGTATTACAGCAGGAACTAGATTCACAAACCAAAAGCATATTTTTTATGAATCATTCAAAAATACATACCATCGGTGTGGTTTAGCTAGTGGTGATATTTCAACTGGATAGTCGAGAACAAATGTTGGTTGCAGAAGCTTTGGCTCAACAATCATCTCAAAAACCTGAATAACTTCTAAACTGTTAAATGAACAAAAAAAAAAAACAAGTGATCACACAAGCATTCACTCATATGAAAACCAGAAGGTTGCATTTTTAGCCTAAAACATGTTGAGTTATAAATAAATTCTAACCCAGCGAAAAATTCATCCTAGATGTTTCCTATAAAAAAAATGTCTAGATAACAACAGCAACAACAACAACAACAACATCAACATCAAGCCTTTGTCCCACTACGTGGGTTCGGCTACATGAATCCTTTTTTGCCATTGTATCCAGTTAAAAGTCAAATTATCATTTAAATCTAATAAATAAAGATCATTTTTAATATTTCTAACTAAGTCTTTTTAGTTATACCTCTACCTTTCTTAATATAAATCTAATCTAATACCTCAACTTTCCTAGGCGGGTCATCGAAAGGCCTCCGTTTAATGTGACCAAACCATCTAAGGCGACTCTCTCTAATCTTATCTTCCACTAGAGCTACTCCAACCTTTTCACGTATATGCTCATTTCATATCCTATCTCTATGGGTCAAGCCACTCATCCAACTAAGCATCCTCATCTCTGCAACACTTAACTTAGTATTATGCTTCTCTTTTAATGGCCAACATTCGGCACCATAAAGCATTGCAGGTCTCACCACCATCTTATAAAATTTTCCTTAAGTTTGAGGGGGACTTTTCTATCGCACAATAAGCTCGATGCATTCCTCCACTTCAACCATCCAACTTGAATTTTGTTGATAATATCCCCATTTATTTCACCATCACTCCGAACAATAGATCCAAGATATCTAAAACGTGTACTCTTATTAATGGCTTGATCGCCCAAAGTCACAATCCCCTCACTAGGTCTATAGCTACTAAAATTACACTCTATATATTCAATTTTAGATCTACTCAAGCGAAACCCTTTAGACTCTAAGGTTGACCTCCATAATTCAAGTTTACCTTCAACTCTCTCTCTAGTCTTATCAATGAGAAGAATATCATCAGCAAAAACCACACACCAAGGTAAATCCTCTTGCAAATGTTTAGTGAGAACATCCATGACTAAAGCAAAAAAGATATGGACTTAAGGCTGATCCTTGATGTAATCCAACCGAAATAGGAAAATACTTGGTCAAACCACCTTGTGTTTGAACACAAGTAATAGCTCTTGCATACATATCTTTAATGATTTGAATATAAGCGTTCTTAACTCATTTCTTTTCAAGAACTCTCCATAGCACCTCTCTTGGAACTTTATCATATGCTTTCTCTAAATCAATAAATATCATATGTAGATCCTCCTTATTCTCTCTATATTTCTCCATCATACCTCTCAATCTATGATGCACGGACACGGACACGGCGACACGGACACGACACGACACGGACACGGGACACGGGACACGGGACACGGCTTTTTTTGAAAATATAGGACACGGGTACGACGCGGACACGGCAATACATTTTTTTATATAGTATATATATATTAATGTAATATCATATTAAAAATGATAAAGAATAATAAATGAATGACATGATAACTTGTCTAGCTTATAATATAAAATATTTAGTACAAAATATATAGTATAACCACAAAAATATAAGCCAATAATCACTTACTACAACATCAAGCATTCAAGCTTCAACTACTAGGATTAGCTTTAGAGGTTTGTTTTTGGCTTTCAATATCATCATCATTGAATATCACTACTTTCAACTCTAGTTCAACAAAAGAAAGATTTGTAATTGTGCAAAAGGAAAGGAGATGAAAATACCTTCACTGCCAAAGAGAAATGAAAATGAGAATATTCGATGAATGGGTATTAAATGCAGACGTTGATTTGATGTTGTGGATATGAAATAAGAAATTTAGTTTAAATCTTACCAAATATAAGAAATTATATTTAAAAAAAAGTATAAAATATTTAAGATACGCGTGTCACGCGTGTCCAATTTGTTTTTAATATTTTTTTAATCGGACACATTTTCGGCGTGTCCGACACGTGTCGGACGAGTGTCGTGTCGGACACTGCACGCCTCTTTGAGGAGAAGTGTCGGTGCATCATAGCTCTCAATAAATGTATGGCTTCCATAGTAGACCTACTCGACAAGAATCCAAATTGATTTTGAGAAATATTAGTATCACACCACAACCCATGCTCCATTACTCGCTCTCGTAGTTTTAAAGTATGACACATTAACTTAATTCATCTATAATTCGCACACTCCTGTGCATCATCTTTATTCTGAAAAAATAGGAATTAACCCACTCATTCTCCACTGATTTGGCATCTTTTGTCTTCAAAACAGTATTAAAAAGTTTAGTAAGCCACGAAATTCCTTCATCTCCTAAGCATTTCCACATCTCTAAAAAAATGTCTAGATAAGATTAAAAAAAAAGTTTTTACATAATATATGGACGCCTATGACTTGGGCATTGTTCATACACATGGTGGTCTACTCTCTGGAGATAATCAACAACCAGCAAACATATGTATTTGCATCTCAACTAATTTATTGAGAATTTAATTAAATTGAAAAAGACAAGTTGTAATTTATTGTGCTCTTCAAGATTTAGGTAGTATTAATGTAATAGAGGTAGTTAGGTGTTAGTTTATAAATAGACAAATTTTGCATATTCAACAGAAAGTTGGCCCTCTTGAAAAATCCAAGGGGAAAAAAATTTCAACAACAAAGTGCAAGTTCATTGCCAAGTTTGCTATTACATGGTATATGATCACCTGAACACATAAGGAATGACAAAAAGAAAAAGAAAGCCACATGCAATGCTTCTAGAGATTTAATATATTGCAATTAATTACTTCAGACCTGAAATCTTGTTCCCACTGTTGTATAGCAAGAAGAATTAACTAGGAACACAAAAAAAAAGAAAAGCAAGTACAACAATTCACAGTAAGTAATTAGTCATAAAATTAGAAGAGGTCTTTACAAGAAAAAAACTTTACTTCATTAAGAACATGACCAACGGATGGACATGCTTGTACCAGAACATCATAATCTTCTTCTGTGGCTTTTAGAATATTTCTCGCAGCCTCTTTAGCAGCCTTAAGATCATTCTTAAACTCTCCGAAGTTGACACCAGTAGCTTCTTTAACAAGATTGTGCATAGTTTCCCTCCTCCAAGGTCGTTGAAAACAAATTTCTGTTCCCTATAAAAACAATGGAAATGAAAGATAAAATTTAAAATCCGGCATAAACAATAAAGCTGTTTATTAAAAAGAACTTATCCATGAAACATTTCTTTCACTTGGCATAATTGATGATTGTTATAAATGACATAGAAGATCTTATCTCTAGTAATAAACATACATTCACCAAAATTTTCTCAGCATTGGTGCATATCTTTTGTATGCATGTTTCAGCTTGAGGGATGGAAAAACAATCTATCTGGATATTTAATAAGCCGAGATACTCAGGAAAATTGCAAGAATGCGCTGATAACTTTTCCTCTCACTAGGATACATAAGGCAAATAAATCCATACATAGCAATTGAATGTTATTAACGATAGAAATCTTCAACTGTACCGGATTACATAGGAGTGCATGCAATATAATACCTGAATGTTGTCCTAGACTCAAGAATGAGGACAGAAGGTAAGGGTTACAAGCAAATGAAGCTAGAGGCCTGCAACATTATTTTCCTACTAAATTTAGAGCATTAGTAGTCCCAACAATATTGCTCAAAACTAAAAATTCACTCAAGTATTGAGTCAATTTGAAATGAATAGAGTCAAGTTATGTGTCAAATTACAAATTCAATTCATTTTGAGACAACTTAGAGCTAAGGGAATCTTACAAAAAATAAATAAAAGCGCTAACTCAATAATATATAAAATAATTTTGCACAACTAGAAATTAGGAAAAACTTCTTGGCATGGTGGTAGCTTGGCTTGTGCTGTTTCTAGTCTTTGGTATTCACATATATTCAGAGTTGGATTCCTTCATGATCTTTTTGCATCATTTATTTCTGCGCTCAAGTCACACGAATTAAAATCCCATAGATCTGACAATCAGCTTTGATCCAGTTCATACCAATTAAATATTACCTAGTAGACATGCAACTGAATTGAACATTTGACAAGCTACTCATAACTTGGCTCAATAAGAATTTGTTTATTTTTATTTGATTAACTAATTAAACAAGCTTAAACATTTTAATAAATACTCAATTGCAAAATGAACAGACTTGAACATCTTATTGGTCAACTCATTCATGATCTTAAACAGTTTTGTCTAAGGCTACGAACAAGCTTGTAAAAAATGCTCAATTAAGAATCAATAAAAAAAACTCAATTAAGGTTTGATATGATGCTTATTACAAAGCTTGGTTAAGGCGATTTCATACATTTAACACATGATTAATTTATTTACTTGATTCAAAGCTCGATTAAGATTCAAAAAAGGTAAATATTAAAATGAAAGACCCAATAGTTAATTACCTTTCCAGATAGCGAGAGAAAGCTTTAGGTTAAGGCTAGTCATCAAATAGATAGATAGTACCTGGTGTATAGTAGCAGTAAAGTTTAGACAATTGAAAATTCAATATTTAAAATTTAAAAAATTTACCACCTTGTACTTAAAGCAGATAGTGGGGGAGTGATGATAGACCTAATCAGGATCTCATAGTTTTATCGTCTCGAGCCATCATGATCACTAGTCTACTCAGTCAGAGGAGATAGTCAACCCAACCTGACAAAAGAATCATTGTCAGCCGCATGGTTTGCTTCGTCCAATGGGATAAATTTGAAGTCACCTTAGCTAACAGAGGGTTTTGTATCAATCAGGCATATCATATTAATTCATTACTGAATGATTTAGCGTCGTTGGGGAACATACGAGCTCCAACTATGACCGTAATTTAATGGTGTCGTTTGGCTGCAAAACCACCCTGTCAGAGGTCCTAATCATAAAAGTGGGTCTTACTGCTTTTCTTGGAAGTAGCTTAAGGGTTTAAATGGTTGGGTCTTACTGCTTTCATTTAAAGTAGCCCGTGAGTTTGAGAAGTTTGAGAAGTTGGGTCTTACAACTTCCATTGAAAGTAGCCAGTAGGTTTAAGAAGTCGAGTCTTACTTCTTATATCAGAAGTAGCTCAAAAGTTTGAGAAGTTGAGTCTTACTGCTTCCATCGGAAGTGCCTTAGGTTTAAAAAAATGAGTCTTACTACTTCTATTAGAAGTAGCTCATATGTTATGGGGGACATGTCATATGTCGTGAGAAGTTTTCCCTAATATTCTAATTATAGTATGACTTACGGCCTCTATTAGAGATTTCTTGTAGAACATAGCTTAGCAGGGATTTAGTTTAGCAGGGCTTTAGCAGTGGATACTTACTTCTGTGCTTTTCACCACCTCGACACCCGTAGTAGTGTTTTACAGTAATAGCTTTGCTTGCTTGTTTGTTTCAGCGCTAGTATTGCCTACAATAGTAGTGTTATAATAGTTTATACTTTCAGCATTTTATTTTTGTTGCTTGTTTTTACATATTGTACTAGTGTTCTGCTTACAGTACTAGTTTTGTTTACCACCCTGTGCTGCCTTTTGTTTTACTTTTTTGTAGGTGTTCATGACTAGTAGTTATAGGAGCTGGAGTTTGCCCGGAGCTTGACCTTGAAGAGTAGGAGTTAGGTTTAGATTTATTAGGATTTTTTTAAGTTTTCTTTGTTTTGTTTTGTTTGGTGTTTTAGTCAGTTTTAAGAGTTTAGTGCTTACTTGGTGTGTGTTGTACTTAGGTTTGTACTCTGTTTAAAATTGTGCAATAAGAGGCGCGCCTCGGAGCAATTTGACCAAAAAACGCCTCGAGGCTTACGCAATTCCGCTCCTGCCAGAGGCGTACGCCTCACCTTGTCTGAGGCGCGCCTCAGAGGCGCAATTGCGCAATTATGAGTGAGGCATACGCCTCATAGAACCGAAAACTTCCGTCCCGCAAGCCTCTGTTCGCGAAACAGACAAACTCCACATATTTCTCTTTTTTGTTTTCCCTTCTTTTAATTCACCTGCCTGTTTTGATCTTCTTCTCTCGTCCTATCAGGTTTCTCTTCCCTTCTCCAATTCTATGCTCATGGCTCCAAGCCGGAGAGACCTGCAACTCACCTCTGCCTATGGCGGCCGCCGGGAAATTGCAATATCGACGAGAGAAGAATCTGGCGATCTCGAGGACGTAAGGCTCCTCGATTCGTTTGAAGATGAGGCGGCGGCGTTAGGAAGAAGAGAGAAAGACGAGGTGTTGGGCTTTGTGATTTTGTTGGTTTTGAGCTAGTGTTTGAGTTTTTATTAGGGTTCTGTTTGGTTTTCGGTTTAATTGGATGAAATGGATTTTATTTCTTTGAATCAAGTTTTTCTATTTATACTGCATTTCATATTTGTATTTTCTTGCTTTTTGTGTTTAAGAGGTGTGTGCGGCAGTTTTTGTTAAGATGATGATGCAGTTTGAGTTGTGGTGGATTTAGGTGTTTTTCTCAATTTGGATTTAGAGAGATTTTGATAGGGTTGAATAGTTATTGTCGTTCACGTCTCGTGAATATGTTTTTGAGCTTCTCTAATGTGCTCAGAATAGGAGTTTCAAGACTTGTTTTCAGATATGCCTTTTGCTTCAATTATTTACTTCTTGATCTTTAGAGGATATTTGATTGCAATACTTATTGCATCTATTTTCTTAATTTTCACTAATTCTACTTATCATTTAGATGTTTTTATTATATGATAGAATCTTGCTATTATTTACCTGTTAAAACCCTTAAATTCTCATTTACGCAATTCTGCATCCGTGAGGCTTACGCCTCACACTGCCTCGAGGTTTACGCCTCGCCTCACGGACGAAAATCGCCTCAAGGTTTAATTACGCAATTTTAAACCTTGGGTTTGTATAGTATGAACATTGTTCAATATTTTTTTTAAAGAAATTTATTAAATCTCAAATTAATTTAGATTAATTAATTAGGTTATTAATTAAATAAAATTAAAGTTTGAATTTTAATTTAAAATTAATTGCTCAACTCATTAGTATAAATTTTAAATATTAAAAATTAAATATATTTCAAAATTACTTAATTATTTAAATTAAGTTTTAAATTTATTATTCAATTAATTTAATTAATTTGAAATTTAATTTTGGTTAGTTTAAATTGATTAATCAATTCAAAAAAAAATTATTTTTAAATCAATTAACGAGTTTAATTAAATGAATTTTAATTTTATTTTTAATTAAAAATTTTGAGTTTAAAATTCATTTTTAACAAATTGAACTTTAATTAATTAAACTAATTAGTAATTTAATTTAAGTGAACTTTTAAATTTAGTTTAAATGGGTTAAATAAATTCTTGTTTAATTATGCCTCTCCAATTTAATTCAGCAATTTCCCGACGCCATTTCAGCAACTTCCTGACGTCCCCTCCCAGCGAGGGGAGGTCGAGAAGACACTTGCCCTTTCTAGTCCATCCAGAAAGATAGAATTCAATGGTCGAGGGCTTCGAGGGATGAATTAACCCTAGTATAGGTTTTTAAGTCCTCCAATTTAGCGATCACGAAACCTGTTAGTAGAATTTTTGCAATTTGGAGTTTTTCTGAAATTTCGGCAGCTTTTCGGATTCCCCTCCCCGCGAGGGAAGGTCAGAAAAGACACTTGCCCTTTCAAGTCCGCTCGATCGGATTATAATCAACGATCGAGGGCTTCAGGGGAAGAATCGACCTCGGTGACGTCTTTTTCTCCTCCAATTGATGATCGTGGCTTCTCCTTCTTATTATGATAACTATTACACTTATATAGATATCCTTCCTCTCACTTACTATTTCAAACAAATAAGAATGCTTGTATGTGCGAAGAAATGGCTCAAGCAAGTGCCGACCGGACTTAGAGGGAGGCGGAGAAGGCACTTGGGATAGGGCCAAATGGTTGGAACAGGAATAGTGGGTCGGTCGGGGCCTGTGTGGGTTTGGTCGAATCAAAGGAGCGGGACAGAGGCGGAAGCCCACAGTTGGGTTCGGCTTCAGGTCAGCGAGGACACAAGCCATGTTGGACTCTTGCGAGCAATCGAGCTGGAGGATCGAAAGCTTCCTCACGTAAAATGGAGCAAACAGAAGATATAGGTCTGCAGTTAAGTGTGTAGGATAGACTTGGTCGGGAATCGGATGGATGAGTTAGTCGAGATCAAAGACAGGCACAAAGGAGGGAAGTCCGTTCATGGAAGGATGCGGACGGAAGGCCTAGTGCCGTTTGATCGGCCCTGAGTACGTGCGAATGGGAGCCAGTGGGAGGGGCGATTCACGCTCTTGTACAGGTGGGTTGTGCGGATTGTCTGCATGCATCTGAGGTCGGGAATGAGAGAGCCGGCGGTTTGTCTTTGCGTGCCAAGGAATTGAGAGAGGTTACTTCTGTTCTTCTATAATTGTGACTGAGTTACGTGGAGAGTGGGATTGTGGGCTAGTGGGATTGTGGGCTAGTGGATTATGGGCTATGGTTAATTAGAGGTCAGCAGAGATGGTTACATAAATCCTTTTTCTCCATTGTGTCCGTCAAGAGTCAAATTCTAATTTCAATTTAATGAAAAAAAGGTCATTTCTAATAATTTCTATGTTTTTTTAGGTTCACTTTTCTTAACATAAGCCAAATCTAATACATCTACTCTCCTAACTTAGTCATCAGAAGGTTGGCATTTTATTTGAACAAACCATATAAAACGACTCTCTCTAATCTTATCTGCCACTGGCGCTAGTCTTACCTTTCACATATATGCTCCTTTCATATTTTGTCACTAAAAGTAATGCATCCATGGACAACAAAGATCTGAATTGGACTTCTTGCACTTATATTATCTCTTCGTTGATCAATCTAATGCATTCTTGAACTTCTTGTACAGTGTTGAATCTAGTCTTGCGGCTGCAGCAAAACAGACTCAAGGAACCTCAAAGATTGCTCCCTATTGAGTGCCAAGGCAGCTCTCTGAACTGAGAAGGGGAGGTTCGACCACTGAAACTTGCAAGCTCAATCACCTGAAAGCAAATTAGGCTACGAACCATCCAGCAAACTAGGGGTGTCAATATTTGACACGACACGACAACCCGACCCGGACCCGACCCGGAAAATCCGGGTTGGACCCGACCCGTTTGATAAACGGGTCGGGTCCGGGTTTGCAGATTCAACCCGTTTGATAAAACGGGTCGGGTCGGGTTGACCCGGCGGGTTGCCGGGTCAACCCGAAAACCCATTTAATTTAAAAAAATGAATTTCCCGCTCAATCCCGCTGCTGCCCGCTGCTGCCCGCTGCCCCTGCCCGCCTGCCCCGCATTTTTTAAGGGATTAGTTATTCTGAGTTTCATTAGATATTTACATAGATTTTAGTACTAATGGAAAAACCTTTATAAATGAGGACATCCAATACAAGCAAATGTGTATACATTCCTGGCTGAATTCGAGTAAACTCAAAAAAAAATTAGGATCGATTGCATGCACTGAAAATTTAAAATTTTGATTTGACTAAATTTGATTTTGAGTTGGCTAAAAATCAAGACTCGACTAAAAATATTTTGATTAAGTCAAGGTCTAGCCAAGCAAAACTCAGATAGTTTAAGTTGGACTAATATGTACTCAACTCAAAACCAGCCCTAAGCATTAGTTTAGTAGATTCATGCTTCTAATAACCAACTTATTTCTGATAAGTCCATATCATTTACTAAGAAGCTACAAGGAGCTTGGTTCATGCCACACTTCACCAGTTAATTGATATGAAGGAGGATATCCATCCCATAACAACATCAAGAAAGAATGATCACCAACAACAAAGAGATGTGATCATTAAATTCAATCTATAAAAGTCTACAACGAGAGAAATTTATTGGGTAATGCAGGATAATGAATTTACTTATGGTTACCGACACATTAAACAAAAAAATTAGTTGGAAATTCAGACTGCAGGCTAACAATATCTACCTATTCAATTTCAGCACGCCATACCATGGTATCGGTGGAAAATGGAATTGAACTTTAAGACCAAGCATCAAATAAATGATAGTAAAGAATATTAAATAAGCTTTTAATACCGTACAATATTTAAGAAAAAAATAGTCATTTCATCATCTTTTAGGATAATGATCAGATACAACGTCACACCAGCTTCATAATTTTCGCATAGTTGTTATCAAATATCATGATCAAGCCTAATCTCGAGCTTTGTTTGGAACAGCTTTTCAATTGCTTACATGATAAGAATAGCAATCAGTAAAAAATAATGTGCATCTGGAAGAAAATTTTTTCGCAATTACTTCAAAATTATGCCATTAAAAAGCTGTTTTTGGATAAGCATTTTTTAAACTATGGCCGAGAAATGAGCTTTACAATAACAACAACACGCCTTTAACCCACTATTTTGGGTCGGTTACGTGAATCTTTTTCTCCAATTGTGAACAATTAAAAGTCAAATTGCTAAGAAAAGAGCATTAAAAAGCCAAAAATGAAAAACTTAAATGCCCAAACAAAGCCTTAGATGATAGAGTTATGTCCACCAACAGGTAAGGTGAGAGGTTCTAATCACTTAGAAAAGACCAAATGAAAAAAAAAATGATAAAATTCACTTTATTAGGAAAAAATATGATGATGCGCCGTGCAAAATCAAAAGATGCTATTAATTTCTAGTGAAGAAGAGATTAAATTAACAGTTAACATTTAAAGACACAAATAGGCCACCCAAGAATGTAAAGATGGAATCAAACACGGGGCAAAAAAGAAAAAGATATATCACAATACAATAAGGCAAATGGTGCAACTCTCTCTCATAACCCATTTTTCTATTTCTTTCTTGCTTCTCGAACCAGTTCCCGTAGGACCTACACTAACATTTCAGAGATCTATGGCACCATATGCCTGATAGTATCCATCACATGATATATCTAATCATTACCAATAAATAGCTAAAGTTTTCTGAAATTCGCTTCTGATGCAGGAAGTATGTGTTGCAAGATAAGCATTAGAATATTACCAGGTAATCAATTTTAAGCTTTCCATGTACTCTGAGTGCGCATCTGGTAATGATTTCCTCCGCCTTGTCCATCATACTTTGATAGTCTGAAAACGCCTCATACATCTATGATCCAAGCTAAAATCAAAAGATATCAGTATCACCAAAATTATCTTATTAACATCAAGGATTGCCTAATTTATAAAGCTAGAACCATCAAAAGTGTAGACTACTTATCATTTTCACCAAGTTAAATTTCCGACAAACCAATTTGCAGTAATCACAATGAGAGACTGAAGCAAAGTGAGCAACAACAATAGTAAATAACAGTGACCTCAATAGTAGTAAATTCAGGATTATGACGTGTGGAGATGCCCTCATTCCGGAAAATTCTTCCTATCTCAAAAACTTTTTCAAATCCCCCAACCTGTCAAATAAACAAAATGAATAATATCGAATAATACACCGAGAAATTTCGATTCACCTTCTGCAGAAATTAGATTAATTTCAGCTGCATTTAAGGTTTATTCATGTCATCTGAGAATAGCATCTAAAAGATATAGCTACTAAATACTTGTTTCTTAAAACATACTGGAGCGGGTTACTGTTGAAGGCATGGAAAGGCTCTCACCCATGTCACATGAGAATAGCAACTAAAAGGTTTTCCATTGCATACTTGTTTCGTGAAAACATGCTAGAGAAAATAGCTGTTGAGGGTAGAAAAGCTCTTACCAACATTCTTTTCAGGTGCAGCTCTGTTGCAATTCTCAAATATAGATTTCTTTCAAGAGAATTATGGTACGTAATAAAGGGCCTGGCCTCTGCACCACCAGCTGCGCCCTGATTATCAATGAAATCTATTAACCAACATTTTCTCTTGGTAACAAGTGAAACGAACACACAGTTACACACAATGATTATGATACCCATCAATATGTGGCAAGCCTAGAGGTAGCCAACAAAACTCACCTCCTAGAATTACCAAAACATAAAAAACTCATAAGCCTAAGAAAATATCACACAAAAATTGTTTACAGGAACATGAAGCATCAAGTTTTATCTATACTAATTTTTGTATTACATAACATTATACTTTCAACAATATGCACTCTACCTTCTAATCAGAAAAAAAAGCGACCAAAGGTTGAGGCACTCAGAAACACAAACAGCACAACACTTCCATATTCAATTGGCAATCGCAAGGCACTTGGATGCTCACATGGGCAGATCATCAATAATACGTTCACCAAAAAGCTGCCCGTGTTCATTTTGTTTAACATAGAATAATTAAATGAGAAACCACTCCATGTATAAGTTGCATTAAGAGAGAACACCCGAGTCCCCTACATGTAAATATACTTTGAATAATATGTCCCCAACCTTCAACTGAGAAATCAAGTGGAAAAGAGTAGAGGTACTTAACGAACACCAACAGCACGAAAGCCTCATAATCAAGAAGCAAGACCAAGTTTTTTGAAATCTCAGATAGAAAGCTTACTAACAATGATTGGAAAAAAATGCCAATTTGGTTTATTTGGTTTGGCATCAAACACAGAATAAAGATATCACTCCATGTATAAGTTAGCTCTGCTATTATAGAGAACACCTTTGTCAGCTCCTAATAAATATCATACTACTACACTATTACAGATGGCTTCATTTCCATTATTTCCAGAAAATAACCAGCTTTAACCAGCTTAAGCAGGGCACATCCATCCATTTTCCTAATCGATGTCAGAATAAGATGATGCAAGAATAACTAGTCTGGCAGCACTCCCCAATGTATTAACACAAATTCTAATCATTGCTACAGATCCCTAAAAAATAAGGTAAGAAGCAGCAAACAGTCCTGCTGTACCTAAGAATCATGTTCTGGGCATGGAGGCTTCTTCAAATATATACCATTAAATTTTTAACAAGAAGCCAGCTTTAAGGATACTGTAAATTGATCTGTTAGAATGTCAGTCAAAGATATTAGTTTGGATGGAATACACACTCAGTAATAACATTATATGATTATCTCAAAAAAAAAAAAAAAAAGTTTCATTAAGTCAAACCTACTTAATGTTAACCCACTAAATGCCCAATTCATTGCAACACCACAATCTTCATAAGATCAGTCCGAGACATTAAAACATATCGATAAAAAAACTATGTTAGATGGTTTAGAACCCTATAAGCTAGGTAGAACCATGCCTGCAACCGAAACATAGATTCCAGTTGAAAAAAAAAATTGTATCCTATCCCAGCCCTAGAATATTGCAAGGTGCATTTAAAAACATAGATATAATACTCAAATAATGAATGTCCCACACAACATGGTAAAATCTCAATAACTAGACAGTGCGAACAGACTTTGCATATGAACCTGTAATACTGGAGTTTCAACTTCAATAAAGCCCCAAGAATCCATGGTTTTTCGGATTTCTGACACAATCTACATAAAGAAATACAAGAAATTATAAATTTATCTCATTAGTAATACATGAAAAAATAAATTAAGAGATTGAAACATTTCATTCCTAACAAAACATCCCAATCTAAAGTAAGCCTACAATTAAAAAAAGGTTCACATGAACTAGTCAAAAGCTTCATAGGAAGATTGTGAACTACTAATAAGCATGTTCATTATTGAACCTTATAGTTCTAATTTGAATGATTAGCATCATCTTGATTTCTTAGGAAAGTCACCCTCACCGAGCATCCCCAATTTGAGAGAAATTCAGGAGTAGCCATTTTCAGAGGTAGATCAGAATTACTTTAACCAAACTCCCTCATGTGCAAATTATACTTCATTTAGATCTAGAGTTAAGACATCCTATGAAGGTAAACCCATAAAATTAATTACCCCTTTCCGCTTGTAGAAGAACACTCTCAATTAAGAAAATAATTTAAGCTCGAATTATAAGCCCATGTTAAATATTTAGGTTTTAAATTAATTTATGGGGAATGGTTGTTTTTATAAAGGTAAACTCAACCAAGATCTCAAATTTCATTATAAGTAAATGAGTTATTGGTTCCCTAGTTTGAAGAATAAACAAATTGCATGTTCAATTGAATTGAATTTTAGACTTTTGCAATAAGTCGCTCTAGATTTCTTTTTCATCCTTTTTTTTTTTTTCATTTCTGGATGAGTAATCCTAAAGTCAAGTTAGTTCAGGGGCTGACCTACCCCTCTTGAGAGGTAATTACGGAACTCCATAACTTAAGCATCTAGCTTATTCAGACAGAAGAATCAATCAAACCCAATTGCAAATGTGGTTGATCAACTGCCTGTTAATTTTGGAACAAGCAAACCGAGAAAGGAGTAGCCTGGTAATAGCATAATCCATAAGTTATGTACAAACTATTCTAAACCCCTTGGCTCGACCTTGGCTTATTGAGGCTAGAGATTTTTTTTTTTTTTTTAATTTCTGTAATCCAATGTGTCAAGTTGCACATCATAATCGACCTTCCAAGCATTATTGAAAGAATTGTTTCGTGTTCTCAACTGCACTCTTTCTTGTGTTGCTTGTTTTGGCATCTTATATGGTGCTTCTTCTCACCCCAACGTAATTACACATGCCTCATGAGAGCATGCCATCCCCATCATTACCATGAACTTTTGGTTCACTTGTTGTCACAGTTGGTTTACTCTTTAATTTTGGATAGCGCTATTGAGCTGACTGATGTGGCTAGGATAGAAATTGTTTGAGTTATCATAGACATTAAAAAGCATGCAAAAATATTGTGTACATATATTAAAATGCATGTATGTTATGTAGTTATATCAAAAAGCACTCAAAGTGCAATGAAAGCATGCCGTCACATTATACAAATACACCAAAAAGCCACATTATACAAATACACCAAAAAGCCTATAGTGCATCATGCAAATGCACTAAAAAATGCATATAACATTTAAAAGAAATGTCAAAATACTAGCATTTGTTCTAACCTAAGTCATCAAAATCCTAAAATTGAGGCCCAAAAATGTCGCATGAGAAAAAAATTAAAATTGAAAAATTAAATTTACATCATTCCAAAAGTCGTACAACACTTATTAGAAAACAAGCAAATATTTTGAAAATTCAGAAAATATTTTTTAACTATAAATTCAAGCTCTAATTTTTACACAACATTCTCGAAAAGGTTGTCTTGCCTACAAGGAAAGTGTGTAAGTAGCACATATCAAATCCAATCCTTCTCTCAAAAAATGGACTCAACAAAGGCTTAAATCCGGATGATAGCTCCATTGACAAAAAATATTAATCAATGGGAACTATATCTATACTACAATTATAAAAGCAGCTTGAATTTTCTTCCATATCAAATCCTAGCCTTCCATTTTAATTACTCAAATTCAATCATAACCTTTCATTTCAATTATTTTAATTATAATTGATTAATAAATATAATTTTATTCCTATCAAATATATTGTATTAATTATCATAATGATATATTAATCCTTCATCTAACAGAAACTCTTCTTCCCTTAAACAATCTTGACCATTCTTAATCATACAAATGGCAAAATCCTATCCATCCATCCCTCAACTTATTAGTATTCATTTTAATTAAACTAATAAATATATTTAATTTTACATTTTATTTTATGTGCATTAATTACAATATATAACTATTCATCACATGTTGTCAATTATTAAATTCAGATTTCCATTTATAAGAATAAATTTTACATTATTATTAACATCTCTTAAAATTAACATCTCCATTTGCAACATTTCATATTCCAAATGGTAACATTCCCCATCCAATTGAAGGAATGCAAAACGGTAGCCAATCGACTGCCTGCCCTCACCTACTAAACATGGATGAAGGAGAAATGCGTTACCATTCCTACACCAACTGAAGTCGGAGATATGTGAAATGCTGGCTATGTCGATCGTCTACCCCATCTACTGCAACCGTAAACCAGAATTAAGTGTAAACCACTCTAATAAATTTTCAACGACAGTCCTCTCGGCTTCCTCTGACCTCTCCGCCTCATTTCAAAATCAATTCGTCCACTCATTTTTATTATATATAATATTGTTGTTTGTTCAGAGGAAACAAATTTCTAAAATTTGATTTATTCTTCTTCTTCTCAGCTCTCTATTTCTCTTCTTTCTCTTTTGTTGTTTTTTTTTTTTTTTTTTTTTTTTTTTTTTTTTTTTTTTTTTTTTTTTACTTCTTTCTCTTTTGTTCCTTCTGAATCGATTTGATGAATAAGAATCAAGAAGAAGTTATTGGTGTCCCTTTCTCAGCATCACAAAGAGTAGAGAGACCTCATCGGCAACAGTTTGTTCGTTCATCTCTGAGTAATTAAGCAATTAATCTCTCTTCTGTTCTCTACTCATCTTTTTTGTTTGAAATTAAGCAGGATTAGGATAGTTTAGTTGTGTGTTAACACTAATGCACTTTTCTTATAGATTGTAGATTTAGCATTTTTTGCTTAATTACACTCTAAGTAATTAATCTTCTTTTGCTCTTTTATAATCATCTTTTTTGATTGAAATTAAAGAGGAATAGGATGGTTTAATCATGTCTTAATACTAATCTGCCCTTCTTATGGATTACATTCAGCTATTTGTTTAATTACTCTCTGAGTGATTAAGGGATTAATATCCTTTTCTTGTTCTAAACTATGTTATTGTTTAAAATTAATTGGCAGGATTGGAATTTATTTTTATCAAATCATTGCTACACCTAATGGCCTTCTAAATAAGGATTTAATTTGATGAAGCTACAGATCCCAACTGCTATTAAATTTTGTCATAATTTCTTCTCATTAACTCCTTTTATCATCTTTTGATTGAAATTTTGTTTAAAACGTGCTTTGACAGATGCTGTAATGGAGCACAGCAAAATCTATGACATACGAAAGGCTATGAGATGCAACTTGGTAGCTGCCATGATGAGGTGCAGAGCGTTTCATCAAGAGAGTTTTTAGGACACTATAGATTCTATCGCCGATGTAATTAGCATCATGCATGAGAGAAAGGTTGTACTAAAGCTATGGAGTGAAGAAGAAGAATGGCAGAGTTGATAGTTAGCCAGAGAAAGAGACCAGAGCTGAACTTTTGCATTTGCATTCATCAAAAAGCTATTACAACCAAGTAAAGTAAAGAAAGGGACAACATGCCCTTAAGCAAGAAAGGGAGAACTACTTATTGTCCTCAAGAATATCAAAAAATTCTTGAGGAATACAACTATTAAAACTATCTCCTATATCCCAAACAAAAGTATCCTCTATTGCTCTTTGAGCACAACAATGAGCAGCCTTGTTGAACCTCCTATATGTATGCACAAATAACACCTAATTTAACAACTTCATCAAACTCCATTTATCCCATTCTTCCTGCTGCTGTTTCCACAATTCCCTATACTTGAAATTCTGCATATACTCAATCACAGAGGCATTATCCCCCTCCACAACAACTCCTTCGAGTTCAAACATCCAATTCATAAGTAACTTATCTATTTAATGAAAAGTCATCATCTCCACCTGTGTACCATCCCAATGGCATATGCTCCAACCAGCTACAATAATCAACTTACCAAAGCTATCACGAATAACAATCCCAATTCCCCCTACATTGGATCTAAGAAGAGCTCCATCCAGAGAGAAAGAGACCAGAGAGAGGTGAAAGAGATGCAACGAGGCGTTGGCTGTTCAGACATAAGAAGGGAGAGAGAGCGGATGCAAAAAATAGATATAAGGGAGAGATAAGCGTGAGATTTAAATTTTATCAAATTTGTTATAATTTTACTTTTCATGTGGTGTCAATCATTATTCTTTCATAGCTTTCACTGTTCGTAAATTTCTTAAAAAAATTCTTTTTTGAAATTATTAGTTGGAGTGGATTTTATATTTTTTATGGCTTTCATAAAAGGGACCAAATTTGGCCTAAACTAATGCTGGTGAGCTGCAAATTTTGAACTTCTGTGTGCTCCTTTGTGCATCACATCCAAGATTTGCATTAGAAAACTCTAGATCCAAAGATATCCTGCGTCACTAGAGTTTCAAGAAAGAAATCCCCGTACTCCCATATATTTCATCTTTTCTACCTCTTCCAGTTACATTTATGATTGAACAATGGCACAATGGCAGCTAATAGAACAAATTTGCTGTTAAATCAAATGTAGTCAATGGTAATATGCGGAAAAATAAGAATATTTTATCCTTTAGTACCTCTGCTCTCATTCTGAAAATATTAGCAACGTCTGGATTTGCAATCATGTCAACATACCTGAATATAAGAAAAAGCACATGTACATGACAATCCTAAAAGAATTTATTTACCACTTTGAGATTCTTGGTGAAGGGAAAATAATAAAAATAAAAAAGATTCAGAGGAATAAATTTTCTGGATGACCACCTCTCTTTAAATGATTGCCGTATATTTGAACTCACTTTTAAAATATAAGAACTCAAAATAATGTGAAAGTGACGGAACTATTGCAGCTAGAGTGCGTATCTATACAGATAACAAAAATGAAAAAACCTGATGCAGAACTATCAACATCATCATCGCCATAATCTGTATTGTCTTTTAGCATGTTTGTTTACATTATCTAATATTCCAGGGTATGAATAGCTTTTATCTATGGTATTATGTTTATCCAGTTCTCGGATCATAATGGTATTCTTCTTCTTCATCATAATTAAGTAATTAATTAATTTACTCATTAGCCTAAAAAGTTGTGTGAGCTTTTAACGGATAACTTTAATCATGCATTAATGAAAGCATGGCTGCTTCCTATTTAATTCGCTCTTCTCAGGATTCCTCTTAACCAATCTATTTCTCTCTCCTCAAGTTCCCTCTCCTCCAGCACCCTCTCTCTACCACTTGATCTCTTTCTCCACTCTCTAGTCCTCAGCAACAACAAGAGATAAAGTGTTGACTACACTGCCCTACTTTATCAGGAAGATGACTACAAAAAAAAATAACAAGCCTTTTATCCCACTACGTGGGGTCAGCTAGATGAATATGTTTTCTTCATTATGCTCTATTAAGAATCAAATTCTCATTTATGTCTAATAAAAAAAGTTCATTTCTATTACTTTATAAGCAAGCCTTTTTAGGTCTACCTCTACTTTATATGTCGGATCTAATATATCTACTCTCTTAATTGAGTCATCGGAAAGCCAACATTTTAAGTGAAGAAATATAACTGCAACACCGTAAAATAAAATAAAGATGGCAGAACAATCGAAAAAACAAAGGTAGTTGGCTTTTAACACAATTACAACAAATGGATTTTTTACAAAACAATGTTGTAATAATAGGTTTTTATTATATAAGGCCAGTCATACTTCAGGATTGAAAAAGCATAAGCTGGGATGCTCCAAAGCAATCCAGGAAGCTTAAACTTCAAAGAAAAAAAAAATTAATGATTCATATTTATGCGTATGATAATAAAATTCTGCAGGAATTGGTTTCTCACAACAGCAGCATTATCATTATCACCATCATAACTAGCATTAACATAACTATTTTTGGTTGACTATATGAATGCTCATCCTCCCTTCATTCCTGGCAAAAATTTGATCCAGACTGAAAAGGTTGTGAAGGATTATGTGAGCCAGCAGTTTGTATATATGACAAGTAACATAACTATATGGTGATTGCAACCTGCTTTAGGATCCTAATGATGTTTGAGAAGACAAAGCAAGTGGCGACATGAAAAGCAGGAAGTTGTTTGCCAATATGCAACATTACATGCAATTCTCTCAGGTAAATTCCCCTGCCTAGGCCTCATAAAATGAACTAGGAGAATAGCAAATCATAACCCTGATGATATTGATATAAAAATCATGAACAGTTCTTGCATACATGCCTCTATCTCGTACAATTCAGAGTTAGGTTCTCCATCAATAGAATCAGATGGAAATTTTGCAAAGTTATAAAAAATGAAAAATTAGCAAATCAGTGTGTCAGACTTTTACATCTGGAGTACTATATTACACCCTCAAAGGACTGAATGTTGCAAAACTCTAAGAAAATAAAATAAATAACTCAATCACATCATATGCAAATATCTCATCGTTATTTCATCAGGCAAAACTCAAAAAATATAAAATAAAGGAGCTATCATAAGAAAAGTGGTGAAAAGAAAGTAACCTCTGACGGTAACGTTTATCCACATCAGCTAAGCCATGATACTTGTCAGGAAGGGGAAGCAAGGACTTCGTAAGAAGTTTGGCAAATTTCACGAAAACAGAAAGCTCCCCTGCAAAACCGAAACTGAGCATTGTCTGATGTAGCCGCATAATTACCATGGAAATAACTTGATTTATTATCTCACATTTAACGTGCATTGTATTTCCCCATTAAGAATAAATGAAAAAATAATCCTGACGTGAAATAATAAAATACCTTTATACATATAAAAAAAGGCTAGACTTTCGGATAGAGATAATGAATAATATTTTCAAAAAACTTCGGGAAAAAAAATGAATATCTAACCGAAGTAGCTCTGATCATATCTCACCCTTATCTGTCTTCTTTATAGAGCCACATGCTCCCAAAATATCACCAATGTCAATATAAGCCTTTATCAGCTCGAACTGATCCTCTGGAAGGCTTCCTTTCTCAAAGTAGAGCTACAAATGCCACAAATAGTGTAAGAGAGGCATATCCCACCATATGTTTGTGCATGGTATGTGGAATTTACAAGTGGGGTGGAAATAAGAATGGTAATATGGTTTAAGCATAAAACTTGTAAGGATAGATAAATTATGAAATTATGATATTATATTGGTGTAACAAATGTTAAAGAAAAGATGGTGAGGAATACAATTAGATGGCCTTGACTTATATGAAAGATAAAAGATACACTAATAAGAGTAGAAGAAACTAATAAGAGAGGATTAACAAGAAAGGAGTAGATTAAACATAGCATGCCATAAATTTTGGGAAAATTACGTAAAATAAAATGATTGTCCCACGCAGCACTCAATATGAGCGACATTTAACTAAAAGAAATTTATGCAAAGGATAACTATGCATAGTTGCAATTTCCCTGCACATTTTAATCATAGATGAGGCACAAACCAAGAACTTCACAACCTTGATAATCATGTCTCTGGGGACTGAATCTATTGATCAGCTAGACAAGTTGAGCAAACCATGATGACTTGATCTGAATTATTGTGTCAGCTTCAGACAAACTAGAAGGGACAACTTCAATTTTTGACATGTGATAAAGTATAGGTATTTTTGGTGACATATAAGGCTAATTTGCATGGTCAATGTGGAAGCTGGTTTGCTCATTAAACATCATACACTTAAACCAGAGAAGCGCCTAGAAATTGGAATCAATACAAAAACAATAAGATATCTAAAAGCATGATAAGAAGCTTGTTCTCATATATTGAAGAATGATAAACGTTTAAGCAAGCAACTAGGACATGCTAGCTAGGACAACCGTGATGTTCAGCCTATATAATGACATCAACTTCGGATCAACTCTAGTAACACATTTGGGTTGGCTTGTGGCCTTATAAGTTACCAATGCCACCATAGGTACCTTGCAGCAAGTTTTGCTCTCTAAATCAAGTCCGTCAATCAAAGTCTTCAGTTCAACATAATTTAAAGAGTGATCTTGGGGTCCATGCTTCTCAGAAAGGCTCTTAGATTCCTTTTTTTTTTTTTTAGGTTGAGCACATTGAGGCCTCAACCTAACTAATCCCACAAAGTTTAGTTACAAGAAAATTAAATTGGGATTTTGAGGAATTTAAAACTAAATTGGCATTAATTTAAACCTAGATTAAGATTGATCATGTGCCAATTTAATCTAATAATAAAATTATGAGGAACTTAATTTAAATAAATTTGGCTTGAACAAAATTTCTCTTTTCAATATAAATCTTATGAGGAAAAGTTGGATGTTTGATTCCTAAAAGCATGGTGCAATTGTGCTACTTAATTCAAATGAAAAGTAATCTCCATGTTTCAGTGAGGCAGGGTGATCGCTGCGAGTGAGTTTAGGCAAGGTTTTAAAAGGCGAAATCGGGAATCGAGGCGTTTTTTCTAAGCGAGGCGAGGCGTAAGCCTCGAGGCGGATCGAGGCGTAAGCCTCAAAATGATTAAAATAAATTAATTTAAAATTTTACGCCTTTTTAATCGATGAGTTTAGGGAAGCTTATTCACTGCTTTACTTTTTATATCATAACCACAACTCCATTCAACAACTACTTTTTTATTACTTTCTTGCTATTTATAGAAATTTTTATAGTAAGAAGCTATTTTTCACAACCAGTTCTATTAATATTAATATGTGGCACCTGTAAGAAATTAATGTAAATTTTTTTTCAAAACAGAATATATTCATAACACCCACAATAGTCTCAAAAAAAAAACTGTTTTTCTCACAACTTCACAACCATCTTTATAAGAAGCTAAAATCTCCCCAACTTAATCCTAAGGCAAAACCATTAATATAGCTTGATCATCTTTCATAATGATGAAGAAATGTCATTATTTCATATGTGCTTTCAAAGCCTGCTAATTTTATGTAGAAATGTACAACCATGTAAAAGATTTTCGGTGGCTAGACCTTGCTAGAAGGCAAGTGATAAGTGAATAGTCCTCGAGAACCATTGACTGTTCTCGTGAGGAGCAACTCCACTCCGGGTATCCTGTCAAATTAGATCTCGACAACCCATTTAGATCCTCGAGGTACGAGTTCACCTGCTACCCACCAACTACCTGTTGAATGACTAAAAAGGCATATGCAAGTATACAAATATGAAACCTTTGCTTGACTCTAATTTTGAGGTAAGCAATTGGTTTTTATTTTTTTTATTCTGGTAATTTTACACATTTTCTATTTCTTCAAAATAATTTGTTGTTGTTTGGTTTAGTTCTCTTGATTTTGGTCAAAAATTGCGCCAAAAACCTAATTTTGTGAAAACTAATTTGTGTGCATGCTGGTTTTTTTATTTCCATATTCATGCTGACATTTTTGAATATTTATGATTATTTCATTATCAATTGAGCTTAAAGACAGTTATTATTTAATTTCATTTTAAAAAAGTGAATTGTTAAATAAATTGATAACTTGTGATCTATGAATATAAATTTTTTCTTTACAATAAAGCATACTGCGCACCATAGTAACTGCATTAGAAATTTTTTTTTTTTTTTTAACTGCATTAGAAAAATATAATCTTGAGTTGTCTGCATCACATACTTAGGGCTGAAATTTGGAAACTTTCCTAAATTAGGATTGGTATTTTAGGTAACAATTTCAAATTCATTTATTTGAATTTGTTAATTAATTGAGTTACCTAAAATATCTAAATCCAATTAGGAAGGTTGTAATTGTAAGCATTAATGAAGAACCCAAAGGGGGCCGGCGGCTATGAATTTGGAAGAGAAATTAAGGAGGCTATTAATGCGTCCTTAAGTCATGGACTTAAATTTAGGATGAAATATTTCATCCTAAATTAACTTTAATTCAATAGGCAAGGATTTGAAAAGTTTTCTCAAATAGGAGTGATATTTTAGGTAACTTTTCAAATTAAAATAATTTGAATTCGATAAGTTAATTAGTTACCTAAATTAATCAACACAATTAGGAAAGGAATCAATGTAAGCAAGGATGGAGGGAAAAAACTAAGGGGGAAGGGGGCAGCTTGGGCTTGGGTTCGGTTGGATGAAGTGTCGGCGGTGGGGTGGGGTTTGGATAAGCGGGTCGGTCGTTGTAGTGGGGGAAGGAGGGTGGTGGCTTGAGGTGGTGGTGACTTGAGGTGGTGGCCGACGGCAAGGTGGGGTGGCTAGGAGATCCGGCGACTAGGAGGAAGAGAGATTGAAAGAAAAGAACGATAAAACAAACCATGAATCCGGCCTTCTCCAAAGTTGGTGGGTGATCAGTTTTCCCTCTCCTAGGGATCTCGCTCTCTCTCCAAGCACTCTCAAGATCTCTCAAGAACTCAAGCAATACAACAACAACAACAACAACATCAAGCCTTTATCCCACTACGTGGAGTCGGCTACATGAATCATTTTTCTCCATTGTGTCCTATTAAAAGTCAAATTCTCGTTTAAATCTAATAAAGAAAGGTCATTCCTAATATTTTCTAACCAGGTCTTTTTAGGTCTACCCCTACCTTTCTTAACAAAAGTCAAATCTAATACCTCTACTCTCCTAACCGGGTCATCGCAAGGCCGCTGTTTTATGTGACCAAACCATCTAAGGCGACTTTCTCTAATCAAGAACTCAAGCAATAGCACAAAAATTTCTTATCATTTCATTCATTAACTTTAGAAGAATGACATGAGGGCTATAAATAGCCTAGTTAAAAGGACTCAAAGATAAAAGACGACCTTGCCCTTAGGGCTTACATACAACTTCCCTTAAGCAAGGAATAAAACGAGAAAAACAATTACAACATATATAACAAATACATGAAATAACTCAAAACACATCTACTCGATCGTGGCCGTAGATCGACGGCCACGTCTCAGATATATCTTTCATGCTCTGATGTCCCCATCATAAATATTACAATTTGACGTGCAGTTCTGAGATACATTACAGAACATTCTGAATTTGAAAAACAAAGTTATGTATGACATAAATCAGGAGGCTTACGTAACCAGAAATCCAAATGTCATCATTAAAGTACTAATCCATCCAAAAACAAAATTCGCAGCAATAAAAAATATTCGTTAGTATCATCCTTTGCACCAGCAATTTGCTACAGTACATAGTATCTCTGCAAATTTATATATCAGTTAGACTGCGACTACAAAAAGAGCCCTATTTTATCAATGAAGGAAACTCTAAGATCAAAAATCAAGTAATCACTGCAAATGTGCTCCAAAAGACATATTAGACACTAAATAAATGCAAAAGAACACTGACCCACAAAGATGAAAAGCAAAGCTTGGGAAAAGATGGATTAGACAAACCTGGACAGTTCCAGATTCGTCCCTTAAAGTATAGAAAGCAAGTTTACCAAACTTTCTACTGGCAATAACTCTTCCTGCAACTGATACGGAGTCGTCTTTACACTCTTCTCCATTTTCTAAATGAGCATAAATATCTTGAAGCTGCCTTGCTTTGTGACTTCTGTCCCACTTATATGCATATGGTTCATAGCCTCTGCTCCTTAATTCTTCAACCTGAAAAAGCAGCAGGATTTCACTTTCATACAGAAAGATTATATTTTATTGAGTTTTCTACCGTAGTTTTTCTGTGAGGGCTTCCTAACGGCATCTAAGTTGATTGGGAGAGACGATCTATCTCTCTAATTGTAGATTGCTTGTATCTTTTGTGTCTTACTGTGTATTAATCACAAAGTAGCCACTATTTCTTCTAAATTCTGTTGTTTTTCTCTGAATTTCTGGCTTTGCTCACTGAAATTGACTCCAAGGCATATCAACTTCACATAAAACCTCAAGTGAGATGAGCAATATGATATCAAGTAGGGTCTGAGCACATTCATTGCACTAGTCTAGAGTACCAAGGGTTTAATAAGACACATGTTCTAAATAGGTGCTAAAGAGGAGAAATGAATGGAAAATCCATCATTAAAAAAAAAAAAAAGATGATGAATAATCCATCCCTGAAATGAAGGTATTATAGGGAAGGCTTTCGTCATGAATTGTTAAAAACAGTATCAAAGCTCTAGAAAGACATCTTTGGAAGCTTTGAGGCCTTCATGCAAACTACTAGATCAATTCAATCTGATTGAATTTGATTTTTTTTAATATTCAGGTTTATGGCTGGGTGAGATTGGGTGATTTAGGATGTTGGGATCAACCCAATTGAATTGTGTTAGTTTTGATTGGATCAAGATAGAAATGAATCTACCAGATTAAGGTTGGGAAAACACATTTAAGACATCCAAAGTTGAAATATCACTGTCTTCAAAGAAGTGGGTTTAAGGAAAAAGCATGGGGAGTCGAATAGTAAAATGACATGGATAAGAGTTAAGTTTGTTGAGGATTTTGAGGAAGTGGTTTAAATTTAAATTTAAAAGAAAATAAAGAAGGATATTAAGATAGCTTGAATCGAACCAAAATTTCAAAGAGAAGATAATTGAGAAATTTGAGGGTACATGGGGAAAGTAATTATGGCCAATTGCGTCAAGGCATGTATGAGATTAGGAGAGTCAAAACATTTTGCTTATGAAAAACATAGGGAGCCATTGTAGTCAAGAGTTTGGGTTTTTGGAATTTGTTTTGGTTTAGGGTTTAAATTTTGGCTTAGTTTAGGAATGGTTGTACGGATCAAAGAAAGCATATGGACTATGGTAAGTACAAAAAGCTAATCAAATTAAGGAGAAGAAGACGATATGAAGACGGTGATGCAATGATAAGAACATACCTTAATATCAATTTTTCTCATTCAAAATTCCTTAAAATTCAGGAAATTTGACCCTAAAACTAGTAGATGATAATCGTGGATTATATGCCATGTGATAGCACTTTAATACAATTTATCGTTGTTTGTGTTTAATCTTTACTTACCTTTATTTGAATCAGTATGGGAAATATTGTTAAGTAACAGTTTATTTAATTGGTTTAATTTTAAAATTTCTGATAATTGGGAAAGATATAAAGAGGCTCGTAAGAAATCTAAAAAAGCAATATGCGATGCAAAGACCTTAGTTTTTAGTGATTTATATAATAGATTAGATACTAAGAAAAGAGAAAGATATATGTATAAGTTAGCCAAGCAAAGAGATAGGATTAGTAAGGATTTAGTTCAAGTGAAGTGTATTAAGGATGAAGATCAAAAAATATTTTTCTTAGAAGATGATATTCAACAAAGGTGGATGAGATATTTTGCTAAACTTTTTAATGAAAATTGTGAAAATAAGATTGACTATAGTGACCTTAGCACCCTAAATGAAAATAAAGATTTTTGTTTTTATCAGCGTATTAATAAAACCGAAGTTAGAGAGGCTTTAAAGAAAATGAAGGGTGGAAAAGCTATTGGACCTGATGATATTCCAATAGAGGTGTGGAAATGCATAGGAGATGAAGGAATTTCTTGTCTTACTAAACTTTCTAATACTATTTTGAAGACTAAAAAGATGTCAGATGAGTGGAGAATGAGTGTGTTAATTCCTATTTTTAAGAATAAAGGTGATGCACAAGATTGTGCGAATTATAGAGGAATTAAGTTAATGTGCCATACTTTAAAACTATGGGAGCGAGTTATGGAGCATAGGTTGTGGCGTGATACTAATGTTTCTCAAAATCAATTTGGATTCATGCCGGGTAGGTCGACTATGGAAGCCATACATTTATTAAGAAGTTTGATGGATAAATATAGAGAAAATAAGGAGGATCTACATATGATATTTATTGATTTAGAAAAAGCATATGATAAAGTTCCAAGAGAAGCACTATGGAGAGTTCTTGAAAAGAAAGAAGTTAATAATGCTTATATTCAAATCATTAAAGATATGTATGCATGAGCTATTACTTGTGTTCAAACACAAGGTGGTTTGACCAAGTATTTCCCTATTTCAGTTAGGTTACATCAAGGATCAACCTTAAGCCCATATCTTTTTGCTTTAGTCATGGATGTTCTCGTAGTCATTTGCAAGAGGATGTACCTTGGTGTATGCTTTTTGCTGATGATATTCTTCTTGTTCATAAGACTAGAGAGGGAGTTGAAAGTAAATTTGAATTATGGAGGTCTACATTAGACACTAAAGGTTTTCGCTTGAGTAGATCTAAAACGGAATATATGGAGTGTAATTTTAGTAGTAATAGACCTAGTAAGGGGATTGTGACTTTGGGCGATCAAGTCATTAATAAGAGTACACGTTTTAGACATCTTGGATCTATTGTTCAGATTAATGGTGAAATAGATGGGAATATTATCAGCAGAATTCAAGTTGGATGGTTGAAGTGGAGGAATGCATCGGGCTTGTTGTGTGATAGAAAAGTACCCCTCAAACTTAAGATAAAATTCTATAAGATGGTAGTGAGGCCTACAATGCTTTATGGTGCCGACCCCATGTAGTGGGATAAAGGCTTGATGTTGTTGTTGTTATTGTTGTTGTTGCCAGTTTATTTAATTATTCAAACTTAATTGGTAAGAACTTCAACTCTAAATAAAGGCTTAAGGGTCATGTCATCCTCCGTGGGAATCACTTCCCTACTCTTGCTCCTAGTTATAAGACTTTCCTATTTATAAAAGAGATAGATGTAAAGAACAATATATTTACTTCTTGTCTTTTAGCACAAGCATATGTATGCTTATATAAAGAAAAGAAAATGTAAAAATAAATAAAAATAAAATAAAATAATGCAAAAAAGAAAATATCCTCGTTCATGAAAAAAAGTTATAATTACAAATAAAGTAAACTTTATAAATAAGTTAGCACATATAATAATTTAGATATGGTAACACTCCCGTACAAACTCGAGGTTCAATATATCAACTTAAGTTTAGGCGGGACCATAAATGAAATAACCAAAATTTTTGTTACCCAGATCTTAGAGCTTTGCACAAGGAGCATAATCAATTCATTAAAGAAACAATAGTGTGTGTCAAATTCATGTAGTTGGCAACAAGATATGTGTTAAATAAGGTGCAAATAAAAACCTTAAATGAAGGTATCAAAGAGAATTTTGATGGACAAAATTCTTAGATAATGTCAAGGAAGAAAGTTAATAAAAAGCGCCAGCATAGTGGGGACAAATCACTTGCATAATCATCAATGGAGAATAAAAGAAATCATTAAGGTATATAAATCTGCGAGAAACATAGAAGGAGACCAAGTACCAAAGTCATCAAGGATGATGTGCATAAGTTGACTTGTGATCAAAAGGCTAGTTAAGTGGTTACAGACGAGTAAAAGAAACCGAACTCATAGCAATAATAGTTACAATGATAACCTTCGAAGTTTAACCCCTATGAAGATAATGGTGAAGCGACAAATGAGGTGAAGATGTGGTTTTGATAATCACCATAAACACAAAGATTGGCTCCTAGAAGGGTTAGTCAAAGATATGTATTGTTGGAGATGGACAAGAATTAACTCAACCATAGATTAGATTGAGTCTTCTCTAGATCATACCTGTTAACAGCGAATAACGCACCAGGGCGCAAAGGTCCTTTCAGAGCCATGGCGCATAACGCTGGGCGCGGCGCGCGCCATTTTGAACATGGCGCAAACTATATAAGAATTATAAAATAATAAGCATGAATATAAAATATCATTAAAAATAAAAGACAAGCTATCCAAGAGATAAGAATTTACATTTAAAGTTCTCACCCCTTCTCTTCTATAGAGTCCAATGTCTCCCAATCAAAGCATGCACTCATGAAGAACACTTATACAAAGCATGCACTCATGAAGAAGCAGACTAACACTAACAACTATTACTAAAGATGATGAACACAACAATATGCTGGGCTGTCGGGGTCCAAGGGGGCGCTGCCCCCTGGCGGGGTTCTAGTAAGAGTAATTTTGAAGTTCTGCTTATTTTTGAAGTTCATAAGTCGTTTGTACCGAGCATGTATATAACGGTACCAAGCATGTACATAGCGGTACCGAGCATGTACCGAGCGGTACCGAGCATTTTTTTTTAATTTTAAGAGGTGGACGCCTCTAAACTATGGTTGCTAGTGAAACACTTCAAGTAGCAATCAATAAGAATCATACCTGTTAAGTTGTAAATTCTTGTAAAAAATATTCATAAGTATAATGAAATTTAAAAACAATTTGGAGCGCCATTTTGCGTTGTGCGCCATGTGTCATGGCTCACATGTGGCGCAAATAGTGCGCGCTATTTTAAACACATGTGCCTCGCCATGAACATGGCGCCGTAGGTGTGCCGTGCCGCGCCGTGCGCCATGGCGCACACTATTTTGCGCCATTGACAACTATGCTCTACATCATATTAAAATATATATGCTTGTATGTATAAGTGCACATAAAGTTGTCAATATTAGAGCCAACACAAAAACCTAACTCAAACCTAACACAAAAAATTTGGATTTGGTTCAACCCATATAATATTCAGGACATGCATGGGTCATCATGTCTCAAAAATAAAATCTCGTCGAGCTCAGGTCAACCCAAAAGATAATGACTTAGCTATAATGTTTTTTAATGAAAATCTTATATAAAACTTTTTTAAAGAGTTTTTGTATTCAAATTGAGTTATTGTGTTCATTTTGGGTCAGGTTAACAATAACTCATCATAATTTAAATATATTTTGTGTCATGTTGGACAGGTTTGGGTTAGCTCGAGCGAGTTTTATTTCAGGAATTTTGACCCATTTAATAAACGAATCGTGTTTGAGTTCATTATATTCATGTAGGATCATTTTCGGGTTGGATCTGAACCCAAACCTAACCCATAAGCCCAAATTGACACCCACTATATATATATATATATATATATATATATATATATATATATACAAATGAATTTTGATTTGAAACTATAAGAGTATATGAATGTATGTTAGACTATGAATTTGTTTAAAAAGATCAAAAATTGAGTGAAATTAAATTTATTATTGGCTCAAATCGAAATTAATGAGCCATGCTTATAACAAGACTAGATCAAATCGAATGACTTCGAGCCGATCTTTAGACGTGATAAACTTGGCTTGAGATCAAATTGTCAAAATATTTAACCATACAAAATCCCATTGATTAAAAAGGCGTTCGAGGCGGACGCCTCGAGGCGCACCTCGAATCGAGGCGGAGGTCGGGCGAACTAAGGCTTAAGCCTCGAACGTCCGGGCGAGGCTTACGTCTTTTTCCACGGAGGCGTACGCCTCAATACAAGAGGTGCCGAGGCGCATCGAGGAAACGCCTCGAAAGGGAGAAAGTTACCAACAAAGCCAGCGAGCCAACGAGCTCCCGTTGTTTCTTCTTATCAAAATGTCGTAACTTATGATCCGACAGGAAGGGAAAGTCGTCGAAGGAGCGCAGTCGAACAGCCACAAAGGAGCCAAAGAAGCGACGCGTGTAATCTCTACACCTCCTATGAAGCAACGAAGCCGAACAACAAAGACGAAAAGAGAAGATGAAAGGAAAACCCTAGATGCAGCTAAGTTATTATTGATTAACTTAATTAATATAATTTAAATATTAATAATTAAGCAAATTAATTAAATACTTAATAGTATAATTAGTGCATAAATTAATTGACTAATTAGTAATATAATTATTAATTAAATATTAATATAATTAGCCTAGTTAATATAAATTAAAATATATATTTTTAAATATATAAATAATAGTATTAATAATAATTATTGAGTAGCTTGTATCGCTCAGTACATGCTCGGTACCGAGCCAGTACCGCTCGGTACCGAGCAAGTATATGCTCGGTACTGAGCGATACATGCTCTGTACCACTAGGTACACGCTCGGTACCAAGCCAGTACCACTAGGTACATGCTCGATATTGCTCAGTACATGCTCGGTACCGAGCGGTACATGCTCGGCACTGTTAATTACGCACTGTTAATTACTTTATTTTTATCATTTTTTAGGCTTACGCCTCGATCCGCCTCGAGGCTTACGCCTCGCCTCGCTTAGCCAAAACGCCTCGATTCCCGATTTCGCCTTTTAAAACGTTGCAAAATCCAAAAACCTTACAAACCAATAGTGCCAAAGCAAAGAAAGATGTTGTTGAGAACTCCTTTAGGCTTTTAGTTGATAATGATGGTTTTGAGAGGCCACAGGTAAGCTCCAGTAGCATCAAGCTAGCTTGGACACATCTCTCCAACCATTTCCTTGTTGCCCAGCCATTTCCTTGTTGCTTCTAGCCCACCTCACGCAAATAAGGTTATAAATAACAGGAGGAAGGAGCTCCTTTTATCATTTGCAGATTAATGCTTTGTTGTGGTACTAGTTTACTTGTTAATTTAATCATGTTTTGTGCTTTAAGCACTAACCTAGACTTGCTTTATTATGGCCACTATTGTCTGTTTAACTTTTATGTTTCAATGAAATTTCAATAAAAATATGGTGCTACGCAAGAAATTTATATAAGGATTACTTTTAAAGCACTATATGTAGAGGCTTTTAAAGAATTTACAAAGCTTATCGACCAAATAGTTGGGTGGGTTGTCATACCTAGGTGAATGGTTTTAGAGGAGCTCTATTACACTACATCAAGAGTAGTGGTGAATATTTTGCCATATTTAATCCGCATGCAAGACAAAATGAACATGAAGTGGTCTAGGTGCATGGCTTTAGAGAAGCTCTAATATGTTGCATCAAGAGTAGTGATGAAGATGTTGCTCTACTGAGTTGCATCAAGAGTAGTGATTAACTTTTATTCCTCAAATATACTTGAATATAAATGTAGTGTTAAGCATGAAGCTTAGATAATTCTAACGTACCAAGTTCTATAGGTAGATGCTTTAAAAGAAGAAAAAAATGCTTACTGATCAAATAGTTGGGTGGCTGTCAAGCCTATGTGCATGGTTTTAGAAGAATTCTATTACACTACATCAAGAGTGGTGATGAACATGTTGGCCTATTCACTTCCTATTTGGATTCACATGCAAGATAAAACAGGACAAAATGCAAATGAAGAGGTCCATAGTGCTCCCTATCATGCTCCAATTTGCAGAGTCGAGTTAGATTGAAGGTTTCTTTTCATTAGCTTTCTATTTGCTTATTTTTTGGGATATATGACTAGCATTAGAAGCACTAATTGGATTTAGAGTCTGTATGACTAGTTCATTTCTCATTATTTTAGGAGTTATTTGGTTTGAAGTATAGGTCCACTAAAGGATAAATATTTGCACACCTTTTTTCATAGAACCAATTCCACATTAGCTATAGGTCACTTCGGATAGCTTCAAGTGGAGACGCTAGTTAGGGGCTTCAATAATGCCTGATTTTGAGGATTTGAAACTAATTTCCATTTAACAGAGGTGCAATCACTTCCCAAACACATTTTCAATAAGGATTGCACTAATTTCCAACACACACACATTTGAGGGATTACAGGACGAACGGGAAGATGTAAAACAGGATTGAAACATGCATACCTTAAATCCTATACAGACAGGTACAATCCTTATACAAACGACATGAAGTAATTACAACATTGGATGAATGAAATAGAAAACTGCCGCTGAGGAATGATAGGTTTTTACCTTCTGGAGACGGATTGCCCGAATGGAGTCTCTGTCTGATGTTGACGAGGAGCTCCTTCGGCGGCGGTCGGTGCGCTGGTTTCCGTCCGCCGAGATGCTTCTCTCACAGGCGTCGGTCGCGGCGGAGGAAGCTGAGGAACAGCAGCGGACCCTTGCACTGGCCCTGACCGCGAAAGCGAAGGTAGAGCTGGGGTTGAAACGAATGAACTGCGAAGAAGCTATCCACGTCCTGAGGACCTCCATCAGCGGATCGCGGTCAAAAAAAAAGTTGATGAACAAAAAATAAAATTGGGGAGGGGGGATACCGATTACACAGCCCCGGGGAAGGGCAAGGGAGAAATTATTTTGTGCCCCATGTGACGATCCGAGATAGATACAATGAAATTATATATATATATATATTCATCTTTTCTAGTTGATCGTGTGACCGACCAAAATTACTTTTTACTAAGAGAATTTTGTCTTTTTAAGTGGAAAGTTAAAAATGAGATATTTTAGATTCTCTTGTTTCAGATGCTCTTCATGTTCTGAAGTTCTTTAATTTGCTCGATATTTTCATCGCAGATGCAATGGCTAAGGTCAATTTTATATTCCCAGAAAAGAAGTGCTTTATTATGTGATATGTTGGTTCTATTTGTTTTTTAAATATCAAGTAATAATTTTTCTTATATAATAGGGTTGTTGGGGTTTAGGTTTAGGATTTTTCACACTTCATTTTCTTTAAATCATCTCTAACATGAAGAAGTTAATGTAGCATTTTCAGTGATTTTTTTGATTTTTTTATACTTGTTATTGTTGTGTATCGTTATTGTGTATCGTTGTGTATTATTGTGTACTGTTTTCTATTCTCATGATGAAGTTATTAGCACATGTTCAGTCATGTTTTTTTTTTCCATTTTTTATACTTGTTAATGTTGTGTACCGTTGTTGTGTACCATTGTGTACTGTTATTATGTACTGATGTATATCACTGTGATTTGTTATCCATTAGCATATTTAAGTTCATTGAACAATTTTAATGAAGTTTACACAACAATAACACACAGCAAATTATGTTTTTATCTGAACTTGTACATAGAATCCAAACTTGAATCTATGCTTGTGCAGAGAAATAAAACTTCGGATGAGCAAAAAAGATTTGAACGATACACCCTAAACCATTAAAAACTCTAATTTGTCAAATGAAAAATAGTAAAACCTCTTTGAAGATTAAAATTTACCAATAATATCCCCGACTTTCTGTGCTTCTCCACCGCAATATGTCTTTTTTTTTCTTTTTCTTCTCAGCTTTCAGAGAAATCTTCCAAACCTCTTTAAAGAAATCCTACCTCATATGGCAAAAATAGTCCCTAAACCTTACATATTGGCCCTTTACACAGGTTTCTTTTCGTAAAACTTAAATTTTTTGCTCTGGACCGGGTCGGGTCGTCAGGTTGTATAGTAAATTGGAAAAGACTCAAAAAAATATTATAATTTCATTGGGTCTTGTCGCCAGGCCGCCATGTGGCGGCAAGGTTTTAGAATCTGGACGTAAAGCACGTTCAGAGACCGCACAAAATAAATTCTCCAGTATTGTAGAAATTATTCTACGAGGAGTCCAAACCTAGCTCTAAATCTGAACTCCAACTAAATCATGACCTGTAGTTTGAAGACATGAATATTCAAAATAAATTTCATTTTTAAATTTTATCTTGTCGGCCTGATTGACCTGGCCAAGAGGTTTAGCATCCCCTTCAAATTTAAATTCTAGGATTGGTGCTCCTTTTTAAATGAAAATAATCATGAATGCTCAACAATATATAGGATTTTAGCCCAATAAATTTTTATATCCGCTGAGAAAGAAAAAATGAGGAAGAGCCGATGAAGATGAAGAATAATTTGGAGGAGGACATTCATTTTTCGAGTATATGATATGCCAACATAATGCAAAATTTGAAAGGCGATATGCAAACACCAAGAAAGAGGAAGAATTGAAGTTAAAAGAGATGCATCATTAAAGAATAATAGTTTTTTTTCTGTATATTTAAGGAATTTATCGAGGGTTCGAGAGAGCAACGCCCCTTGGTGGGTTCCAAGGGGCCAGTACCCACTAGCAGGGTTTAACCTACTCGGTCAGGTCACAGGGAAAGTTTAGAGTTTTGCTTGTTTTTATTAAATTCATTATAATAAAATTAGCTTTTTTTATTTCAGTTCATGCTAGTAATATTTTTGCACTATTTATTAAATGTGTAAAAAAAATTCTAGAAAATAACAAAATAATGTGTAATTGAATGTGCTTTAACTGCATTTTGGATGCTCTTTCACTTTATTTTTGTTACGCTTTTACTGCGTAATGAGTGGTTTAGACTTTAATTTTTAAATTTTATTAGTTCATATCATTTTTCTATAAGTGTTTTCACTATGAATTAAATTTGAAATGAGTGGTTTAGACAATCATCAACTTTAATTTTTAAATTTTATTAGTTTAGATCATTTTTTCTATAAGTGTTTTCACTATGTATTAAATTTGTAAAAAACACTTTCTAAAAAATGTCAATACAATGTATAATTCATTGCCCTTTTACTATGCTTTTTGTTACGCTTTTGCTAGGCTTTTATTGTGCTTTTGCTACGCTTTTGCTTCATAATGAGTGGTTTGGACAATCATCAACTTTAATTTTCAATTTCCTTTAGTTTGGATCATTTTACTGTAAGTGTTTTCACTATAAATTAAATCTATAAGGAAAATTTTATGAAAAATGATAATACAATATGTAACTCATTGCCCTTTACTACACTTTTGAAGAGCTTTCACTGTGCTTTTGATGTGTTTTTACTATGCTTTTAATGCTCTTTCACTAAGCTTTCGATGCGCTTTCATTGTGTTTTTGAAGTGCTTTCACTGCGCTTTTGATATGCTTTCACTGTACTTTTGCTACACATTAGTATTTTTGACAATACAATATGTAATTCATTACCCTTTTATGGTTCTTTCACTCTGCTTTTGATGCTTTTTCCCTACTTTTTTTATGCGCTTTTGCTGCATATCCTGTGTTTTCGATCACATCAAGTTTAATTTTAATTCTAGATTCCATAATATAGAAATCACTATCATAATCAAATTATTTAGTTCAGATCATGTTATTATAATTATTTTCTCTATTAAATCAATCTGTAAGAAAAAATTTCTAAAAAATAACATAATAGTAATTCACTGTGCTTTTTATGTGCTTTTGATGTGCTTTCGCTGTGCTTTTGATGCTTTTCACTATACTTTTGTTGTACAAAAAAAGGAACACAATCTTGAAAATTGTACAATCACTTTGGATATTTTATTTTGTTATATTGGTTTCAAATGATCCTTTTATGTCCTTGTATATATTTTTTATATGAACAAAATAGAGAACAAATATCAGCTCACTGCCATATTGAGAAAAAAATTAACATACATAAATTTCAAAACTTTCTCCTACAAAGAAATAAAATGCATAGTAAATGTAAAGAAAAGTGCAGTGAAATCGCAGCTAAAACATAGCAAAAGCATAGTGAATGCGCATCTAAAGCACAACAAAAGTATAGTGAAAGCATAGTGAAAGAGATAGCAAAATTTTCAAAAAGCTTCAAAAATAAATTGAATATAAAGAAAAGCACAATGAAAGTACAGTTCAAGCATAGTAGCAAATGTATAGTATATAGTCAAATATTATAAAGCTATGCAACCTATTTTTGAAAACTAAAGAAGTCATTATACAAATTGAAACCATAAAAGAATATACACAACAAAAATACAGTTAAAGTGCATTTAACATGAGGTTAAAATGAACAAAAATAACTAAAAAATTTTAAAGTAAACAAAAATAACCTAGTTTTAAAAATAAAAGAACTCGATATAGTATTGATACCTATGAATATGCAGCAAAAGCGCATACAAAATCTCTTGCACTTGTTTTCATGTGGTGACTAATTTTTGTACTGAGTGGAATGCGAAGGAATGTAGTGAAGCATCTAAAATGCCGAACGAGAAAGAAAGTGAGCAGTAAAATACCAAGATGAAAAGTAAAGTGACCTAGCTTTGAGGTTTTAAACTCCTATGAATTTAAATTTTTTATCTCTATGTCGGGTCAATTGGCTAATAAGACATAAATAAAAATTGAACCCTTATTGAATATCCATGTTCTGGTCTAGATGTCAAGATATAGTTGGAGTCTATATGGAGATATATTTTTGAACTTCGCACCAAATAATTTCTCCCAATGATGGAATTATTGATTACACTGCTCTAGTGTAGAAATTATTCCATGGGGAGTCTGGCGTAGCTCTGCATTCGAACACTAATAAAATGATAATGATGTGTGCATTGTGAGAGAGTATTTGAAGGAGATTTCTTACCACTGGAGCGTGAAGGATTCACTTGGTACTCAAAGGTAAGGATCTTTGTTTTTAAATTGTGATTACTTTACTCTTCTCTCTTATCCTTACATATTTCTCGTAAGAAGATATTATCAAGGAGATCTGGTTCACTACCAACACTCGAGGAGTGTGAACAGCGAAGGGTACTCTACCTACACTTGGAGAAGTGTGAAAAGATGAAATGTTCTCTACCTTCACTTGGAGAAGTGTAAAAGGATGAATGGTTCTCTGCCTACACTTGGAGAGTGTGAACAGTGCGAGGTACACTGCCTACACTTGGAGGGTGTAAAAGGACGATGGTTCTCTACCACACCGGGTAGTGGTGGAAGAGATTTTTTTGTAAAGGCTTCTCCGCCTTGCTGTAGGAGAAAAAGGAGAGACACTAAGTGGTAATAGTGCAATAGTTGAAGTGGGAGACTTCAGGCAGTGGATGTAGGTCGTATTTGACCAAACCACTAAATCTTGTGTCTTTTATTTTTCTCTACTTATTACCAATTCACCCCCCCTCTTGGTTAGCCGTTGGGATATAAGCTTAGGTCTAACAACCTAATTCATACTTAACAAAGTTTCAACAAGTGGTATTAGAGCATAGTTTCAAAATCATAAGTTTAGACTACTTTTTGATTAACTATCATGGCTACATTTGAAAACAAAAACACACCTGAGGGTTACTCTATAACTAGACCTCCATTGTTCAACAATATTCCTTTTGATTTTTGAAAAACACGCATGTCTATATTTTTACAGTAACTTGATTATCGTATGTGGATCTTAGTTCATGAAAGGTATACAAAACCAACTAGAATTGTTGATGGAGTTAGAGTTAAACACCTTTTGCAGATTGGACAGTAGAAGAACATGACTTAGCATAACAGAATGCCAAATGCTTGAATAGTTTCTTTTGTGCTCTTAAATCTGAAGACTACATGCGAGTTTCTACTTACTAGAGTGGAAAGGACATATGATATAGACTTTGTATA